ACTGAACCAAAATTGGATGGTTGAGATATATGAAAATGGATGACAGACTTTAGACGTCACAATTGTGGGCCTCTCTCATTACTAAAAATGAGAGTGGGACCTTAGACTCATTTTCTCCTATATAAAACATGTACATAAATATGTTGGGTGTTTGACTAATTTGGATATATTAGTATATTTGAATTGAGGTTTAACTAAGACGTTGAACTTATGCGTGTTTGCACTTTCTGTTTCCTATCACTACAAGAATTAACACATAATAATAATAATAATAATAATAATAATAATAATAATAATAATAATAATAACATTTCCATTCTTTCCAAAACAGAAAAAATAATACAAGCATAGCGAAAAGGTATGCCACCCAGGGGAATCTACATATAGCACTTGATCAAAGGGACTCCAATAAAGTAAATAAGCAGCAATTAGCAATTAATAAAAGACCAAGATCATCAACATTATAGAAATGGCACAAAATCTGTCGATTAATAAAAAAAGGACCAAGATCATGATCAACATCAGTAAACGCTGTGAAGCAGTAGTGAAGTTCATCGTTTGAAAAATCTGAGACTCAACAATCTTTGATGTTTGGTTTTCGCAAAATTTAATTTAACCCAAAAACGACTCTAATCTTGATTGAGTCAACAGCTTATTAGGGAGGAACCAACAGTGTGACCAAAAAAATAGAGTCACTAACAGAACAAAGTAACAACATAACTCATGTGCCCTAACCTAATTAGTTGGAGCATGCCTCTCTTTTTCTTTTCTTTTTTGAATAAAGCTTGAGATCCCAATGGAGGTGCTGCGGTCCTATGTGATTGGCCCAAAAAATTGTTTTTTTTTTTTTCCTTTGTTTTCAGCCATTGACAGCCCCCCACATGGAGGTGGGGGTGCTGGGGTGCCTTGGAGTTGGGGGTCTCCAGCATTTCCGTTCTTTTTTATGCCCTATTTTTTGTAAGGTCAATATTGTAAATTTGCGTGTAATTTTCATCTCTCATGACCAAGTGAGTCAACTCAGTCAAATAATAACGAAATTTTATAGTATTTGAAAAATGAGTGAGACTCTTTTTTGGAGACTCCCATAACTTCGAAAGTGATTTACACTAGGGGTGAGCGCGGATCGGTTACGGTCACAGAACCTTCAATTCATCATCCGTCCGTCAAATTGGTGAATTAGAAAAAATTAGTCCGCATCTGTCCGCCAATCTGGCGGATGTGGATTGAGCGGATTAACGGATTGACGAATGGATGCGAATCGGTCTGGTGGTTTAAAATTTTATAAATTTTCAACATAATTTAACTTGTGCACTTCCTCAAAAAAAAAAAAAGAAGTATTACAGTCAATGATTTACAAAAATATTACAATCACTGCATGTCTCATCCAAAGAAAGAAAGTTTGAATCTTTAGAATATTACAATCATTGCATGCCTCATCCACATAAAGTATTACAATCTGTGGTTCTTAAAATATAAAAATAATTCAAATCACCAAAACCATGAACAGAGCAGCAGTAAAGATTGTATGCCTCTGTATTGTTACATCTATATCTGTTTTTGAAAATAAAAACCAACCAGCATATATAAACTTTTTTATTTATTATTTTTAGAGTTAGATTTAAAAATAAAAAAATATAGATAAATAATACATTTATTTTTTTCAATTAAAAAAATATATTTTAGTTGAAAACTCTTTTTCAATAGAATATTTAAACTCTTTTTTAATTGAAAACACAAACAGAATATCTAAATAAATTGAAAACATAAAGTCTTATAAATTACTAGGAGTGCTTGTGGTTTGGCGGTTCAGTTTGCGATCAAAGGAACCTCAAATCCGTCATCAGTCCAAAACTAGGCGGAATGAAAAAAATCAATCAACAACCGTCCGCTCGTCACCATGCATCCGTCCAAAATGCGGCGAATCGGTTCTGTTTGGTTGAATCGGTATATCTGCTGCTCACTTCTAATCTACACGACTCGTGATGTGGGTCCTACTCATATATCATGAGTGGTGTGAATCACTTTGAAAGTTATAAATCTCTGAAAAAAGAATCTCTTGTTTATATTTAGACGGAAAGAGGGAGAAGGGGAAACAGACAAGTCGTGAAGGAGGAAAACGGTGAGGAAGGCGTATACAACCGAATGTAATATATAACAACAATCTACCATGTAAACTATTCTGCAACTCTGACTCAACTATTTATCTTCATTTTTCTAATTAATTGTTATTTTTTAAAAATAAAAAATAAAATAATTGACTGTATGTTTTAAGCGGTGGTGGGTTTATAATTGATTTGTAACTCTGAATTTTTGCTGAGAGAAAGTTTAGAAACAATTTGTGCTGCTTTGAATTATGATAAAAAGAAGGGTAAATTACATTGACGGTTTGGTCTAATTACTACTCACACCCTGATGCTTTGAAAATTACATTCCTACCCTTGTGGTTAATAGTCTCATTTCACAACCACTACTTATGTAAAAAGTAACAACTCCTAATAAAAAAACAGAGGAAATTACATTAAAAAAAAAATAAAGGAATGGGAAAAAAAAAGAGAAAGTAAAGCAAAGCAAAAAAAAGAGAGGGCATAAATTCAATGTCTTCATTCCGTCTAAATAATTACAATCACATGGGATTAGTGTAATTTTCCAAACGTCAGGAGTGATATATATTAAACCTAAATCTCAGGAGGTGTAAGTGTAATTTACCCTAAAAAGAAATAGAGAATCTTTGTACTCTGTTTTTTTATTGTTTACATTTCTTGAATTCTATTTTTTCTTTTCTTTCAGGTCTTATCAATTCTAGTTTCTTGGAAATGTTTTGGCAATGAATCTAGGATTTTGACTGGTGAGTTTTGAAATAGGATTTATTTATGAGCAATGGTAGAGGGCTCAAATTCTGTGGCTCAAATGTGGCTCAAATGGCCAAAACGACGTCGTTTTGAGTACAAAACAACATCAAAATGGCCAAAACGACGTCGTTTTGGCTATTTGAGCCACATTTGAGCCACAGAATTAGGGCCCCCAAATATTTTTCTTTATTTATTTATTTATTTATTTTTGAGTTTTGATATTAATTTTAATTTTACTTTTGTTGGTGAATTTTGATTTTGATTTTGTTTTTGATGGTTGTGGGTTGTCTTGTTTGGTGGCGGTGGGTGACAAACGGGTGGTCGATACTCAGTGGTGGATGTGTGTTTCTAGAAGGAAGGTGGTTGTTTGCTGTGGAGGAGGAAGGAGGAGAATAGGTGAAATATCTATTTTATCCCTTGAAAATGGTCATATGTCATCCATGTATATATTTTTCTTATCTATTAGAGCAAAATGACACAAAATATAAAATTTAAAGTTAAAACCGAGTCATTTGAAAATATAAAAATCAAAATGATACAAAGATGATGTTTGGGAATGGTTTAGACAGGCTATTTTAGCCTCAAATATAAAAAAAAAAAGTTGTGTAGCCTGCACTATAGCTGAGTATTGGAGCTGCAGTCCAACAGTCCAACTTTAATTAATTTTTTACAAACAAATTTTTGCACCCAACAGAACACAAGACACAGGTGGCAGTGTCCTCACTGCCACGTGGACATGTACCTTGTGTATTATAAATATCTGTATAGGTAATTTGATAAATTTACATTTAACCATCATTTCAAATATATTTTCCAATACTACAACTCTTAAAAAATGTATTTCATCTTTTCAAACACAAAAAATAAAATAGCCTATTAAAATAGTCAAAAAGTCAAAAAAAAATTTTAAAAAAAAAGCCACTTTCCAAACACCCACAAAGAGTTAAGTATACAAATTATGTGGGTAATTTATCCATTTATATACTTTAGGTACATAGTAGACAACTTAGGGACTAAGTAGATAATTTGACGGTAATTCAAGAATAAAGTGTAATAAACCCATGGAAGAAATAAGCCTTTTTTATAAGGTTATGTTTTGTTTATAAATTTGAGAAGAAGTTTAGAAGGAAAAAAGAAAAAAATATGTGAAATCAAAATAAATATAATTATATTTCATTTAAATTTTATTTCCATTTTTTTTTTACTTTTTTAAATAAATTTATGAATCAAGCACAGCTCAAAAATAACAAAGCCTAAAATCACTGCTCAAAAAGTAAGTCTAAAGTCATTTCACATAAATATTGTGAAATCCTGGTACCTTATAAAACCAACAAAATAGATTAAGCTAAAAAAAATTGTTTGGCAATCACTTTTTAAAGCTAAAAATTCTAAATTTTTCAGACTTGTATGGGCAAAAATGAATTGCCAAACGAGCCAATGACTTAAATCTCATTTGAAAACATACTATTTTAATAATTTTTAATTTTTTAACTAAAATATAAAATTAAAAAATAAAAAATAAAAATTAATATGTTTAAAATAACTTTTTAATTCTTTATAAAAAGATGTACATAAAATATAAAGAAAAATAAATATTTGACTTCTTGATATAAGTTGTAAACTTATTAATTTTTTTTTAATAATTTTCTAACTTTTAAACTAAACTATTGAGTTGTCAAACGAGGTCTTAATTACCTTAAAAAGAACAAGTTTGGCTTTTAAGCAACACCTAAATAAAACGTTACCTATAAATTCAACTATAGGCTATTTAAGGGAAAATGAAACAACAAAAAAAGTAGTACAAATTAAATTTAACAATAGTAAACCCATTTTGTAATAATGGACCAAACCCATTAAATAGACTTAGGTCTCGTTTGACATGTAACAATTTTATCCTAAAAATCAAAATTAAAATATCATTCTAAACCTACTAATTTTTTTATCTCATATTTTAACTAAAAAATTTAAAAATTACAAAAATAATTTGTTTGCAAACGAGGCTAGTCTATTTGAATTACAACTAGAAAGCTCTGCACAAATGTTGAAAAATTACACTTTAAGAAACCACTCCAGAGTTTAAAATTCAAATACAAAACCACAATAAAAACCTACAATCCTCAAAGTGCATTATGCTTACAACATAAGAAGATATAAGAAACAGAATCAACAATCCCACCAAAATTTTTATTTAATTAATATATATGCAAGAAACTATTATATTAGAAGCGACAATTGATTCAATGGTTAAGACTAGACCTAATAATCTTGAGGTTACGAGTTCAAGTCTTGAGACTATCACTTTATGCATTATGCCGAAGGTAAGGTCCCAAATACACATTAATGTGTACTAATTGGTCGTTACTTTTTTAAACTATTATATTCAAGAGTGTGAAGCTTTTAACAGAAATTTACGCCACCAGTGCACTATTATATTCAAGAGTGTGAAGCTTTTAACAGAAATTTACGCCACCAGTGCGAAGAAAGCAGCACATATTTCGAGGAAGAGGAAAGGGGGGCCATGTATTCTTTGCAAGTCCAGAAGATACGTCTCTTCACTGGCTTTGTAAAGCTGTAGAAATTATAGACATGGTAAAGAACTATATATATATATATATATGAATCAAATTATTGGAAACTTAATGAATAATCTCAAATTATTTCTAAAACTAGACAAAACTCTGTTTGATCGAATTTAGTTTACATCCTTGTACTAAAAAATCAGTCCAATATTTTTAAAATTTCAAAGAAACCAACAATGTCTTGAAAAGGGGTAATTCTATTCACACATTACAAATATTCTCAATTCACACCATTTTACCAATTTCCGAACAAAAAGAAATTGTTTGAACAAAAACCCTGTTCAATAGTTGATATCCGAACAATTGATTTTTATTTGAAAATTGATATCCGAACCCAAAAAAAAAAAAATATGATGTGAACTGAAACAAGTATAGTGTGCAAGCTCCCAATAACAAACGATTATTTCTATCGCTTTACTAGGCATAGGCTTCATCAACAAAGCAAGTACACGATAAGTCATTACCTGAATTTCAAACTTGAGAGCATTTTGCAACCTAATACCCAATATGCTTGTACTTATAATTGATGACTCAAGGCCATAGACATCGTTTATCAGAGTAGGACCACCATTAAGTGTATTTTTGGGATATGCAGAAAATTCAGGTGCCCAGAGGCATTTCATGTTATAATGCCCTATCTCCTTCCATCGCACGTTTAACTTCTCAAGGACCTTTAAAACAACTGTCATTGTCTCACGGGGAGATATTTGAGACTGTACAGAAAAGATAAAACCAACAAAATCTACATCAATAAATATGGTCAAGGCATTTACAACAAAAAAGAAGAAACAGTCAAAAACTAAAAACCAAAACAAAACCTGAAACCCAAGAGCCCACTTTTTTTGAACAGGAGCTGGTGGTCTCGTGTATGTTTCATCAGGGTGGACATGCACCGGAGGCTGCAGAATCCAAGGTTAGAGAAAAGTAACTCAATGTAAATAGTACTTCAACTTGCCCATTGCAGGAACATCAGTCAAAAATCTATATTCGATATTGTTTTACAAAAAAAATCTGTAAAGTTTCTTGAACAAATGGAGCATCAGAAGTATGAGAAGGTCTGTTAAGAAAGGCCAAACTAAGACCGCTGTTACTGACCATGTTAGGGGACCGAGCTAGTAAGATTGGACTAACGAGCTCAGAATTACTTCAAATTTGGTACTATGATCGGACGCAATGTACACAATGAAAAATCTAAAATCTCAGAAATATTGATTTGTGATTATGTATCAATTTTAAATAGTAAATAACAATATCTTAATCAAACAATCAAGACAAATCGACACAACGATTATAATGTGGAAAAACCACAATTGGAGTGCCTCCAATTGTAATAAAAAATCACGAGACAAAGCCACAAAACAATACACTAAAAAGACACAGAGGAATTACACAAGTGTACTCTCAATTACCTAGCGAATCCACACCCGAATCGAACTGACCCCTATGTGCCTCTTCCAGCCCTGTCTTCTGTTAGAAACGTTTTGAAAAAAAAAAATCTAGGTAAAAACAGAATTTTTTCTTAACTTTTGTCTAATTTTTAGGTGGGACCCGTGGCGGGTCAAAGTGGAAACACGTTCTATGCCGCATTGTGATTCATGTGGTATATTTGGTTGCTCAAAACCATTATCGGGTGAATGAGATTTTGAAGCCAAAGTGAGCTCCATGAAAATGGAGTTTTTATAGAAATTCCTTAAGGTTTATGTAATGGCTTGTCCCACATTGATTTGGTGGGAAGTTTTGAATGGGTTTATAAGGCTTGGAGTTGGAACTTGGATAGGCCCCAAGGGCACCCAAGTTTTGTAGAGAGGAAGGTTATGGGCTAGAACCATTGGACCCAAAAATTACCACGCGCGCGTTACTGTCCGGTCGAACGGGCCAGGCTGGGCCTGGGAGTGGTGTGAGGTTAGGTTGGGCTTGTCCGGCCCAATACTAATCTTTTTGATCCAAAAACATTTGAATTTAATTTTATTTTTTGATAAAATTTGGTAAAATAAAGTTTCTGTCCAGAATTCAAATTAATTCCGGAAATAATGTTTCGATTTTTGCCTACATCCAAACAGGTCCCTACGGTTTTTATCTGTTCAAATTTGAACCCAACAGATTTGTATCTGTTTATTCAAACTAAACAGGTATCATACCTGTTCAAACAGGTTTTGCATCTGTTTAATTCAAATTGAAAAACCACTACTACATCTATAAATAGGCAGCCCTCATTTGATGTTTTCATTCAGTTTTTCCGTACTTCTCCTCTGCGCTTATACTCTATATTTTGCTGCATTTCATTTTTGTGAGAAAGAATGTAAACACTTAGTGTGTTCGTTGTGCGAATAAATTGTAGTGCTGCATTTATTCGTTGATTGATCATTTTATCTTGGGAGATAAACGTCCATATTCTGAAAGCACCGTGGAGAGGACGAATCTATCTTAAGGACATAGTGTCTAACACTAAGCTTGATCAGAATATTGTACAAGAAATTAATCAAGTAAGTGAATTCTTTTTCTGTTTTATTATTATTTATTTAAATCAGATTTTGATTTTGTTTTTATAACAAAATAAAAATCTGTTTTAATTTATTTATTTTTATATATTGGTTTGATTTTTGTAATCAAACATTCTCTCTCCTTTCCTATTTTTCTTTCGTATTTTGTTTGCCGTTTAGTACCCAAACAGAATTAATTTATTTATACACAGTGAAGATTGCCTAACAATCTTAAGACATTCTTTTTTCTTTTTTTTGGTGTCTTCATTGTATTTAATTTTCTGTATTTTCACAAAAGTGATATTCTGGTTGGAAAACAAATAGTAGTAATATACTTTTTGACAGATAGTAGTAATATACTGTCTATTTTCTTTGACAACTAATAGTAATATACTGGTATCATTAACAATTGCAGAATATTAATTTGTGTTACAGAAAATTATTTTGGTATTTTATTCTTCTAGTTTTAGTAACAAGAAAAATAAAATTATTTTATGTTAAAATTTATTTTCTGGTTTTAGTAACTAGAAAATTAATTTGTGTTTTGGTTTTTTTTTTTTTTTCTGATTTTTGTAATCAGATATTATGGCTACTACAACTGGAAGTGGTACTCCAATTGTAAGACCAACTCCGGTCCCTATCCAGAACCATGTTCAAGTACCAATAAATCATGGAGAAAAACCGAAAAAATTTAATAGTACTGAGTTTAAGAGATGGCAGCAGAAAATGCTGTTCTATCTTACAACTCTAAATTTGGCCCGGTTTCTCCGTGAAGAGGCTCCAACACGTAAAGAGGGTGAAAGTGATCGGCAAGTTGTTGCCGTTGTAGATGTTTGGAAACATTCAGATTTCTTATGCAAAAACTACATCCTCAATGGCCTTGACAACATGTATAATGTTTACAGCCCTCTGAAGTCAGCAAAAGAATTGTGGGATTCTTTGGAGAAGAAACACAAGACAAAAGATGCCGACACGAAGAAATTTGTTATCTGTAAATTTCTTGACTTTGTTATGGTAAACTCCCAAACGGTAATTTCTCAAGTTCAAAATTTTCAAATAATTTTGCATGATATTCATTTAGAAGGTATATCTCTTAGCAAGTCTTTCCAAGTCGTTGCTCTAGTGGAAAAGTTACCACCGGCTTGGAAAGATTTCAAAATTTTTTTAAAACATAAACGCAAGGAGATGACCATGGATGAATTGATTGTAAGATTGAGAATTGAGGAAGATAACCGAAAGGTTGAAAAGAGGAATGAGAAAAATCCCATTGAGTCCAAGGCTAACGTGGTTGAACAAGTTCACAAACCACATAACAAAAAGAGGAAGTTTACTGGAAATGGTCCTAAACAAGGCGACAACAATGGCAATAAGAAGTTCAAAAGAAAATGCTATAACTATGGCAAGACTGGATATCGAGCTTCTGACTGTCGCCGCCCTAAGAAGGATCGCGGAAGTACAAACAAGAAGACCACTAATCAAGCCAATGTAACAGAATTAGATTACATCTCTGACGGGGTAAATGACATCAATCTTTCTGCTGTGGTGTCTGAGGCTAATTTGGTTGGAAATCCCAAGGAGTGGTGGGTTAACACTGGAGCAACTCGTCACATATGTGCGGACAAGAAGATGTTTACTACCTACAATGAGGCTGCAAATGGTGAACAACTTTTCATGGGAAATTCTTCTACTTCTAATGTGGCTAGACAAGGAAAGATGATCTTGAAGATGACATCAGGGAAAGAACTTACCCTCAACAACGTACTGCATGTACCTGACATCCGGAAGAATTTGGTTTCTGGCTCTTTGTTAAGTAAAAATGGTTTTAGGCTTGTATTTGAGTCTGATAAATTTGTATTATCAAAGAGTGGTATGTATGTTGGTAGGGAATACATGAGTGATGGTCTCTTCAAATTAAATATAATGACGGTTGTACCAAAAGTTGCTATGAATAAGAATAACACATCTTTTGCTTATATTCTTGAGTCGAATTTATGGCATGCTAGATTAGAACATGTGAATTTTGATGCTTTGCGTAGATTAATTGGTTTGGATTATATACCAAAGTTTGAAATTGATCCTAATCATAAATGTGAAATTTGTGTAGAAGCTAAACTAACTAAAGGCTCTATTTAAATCGGTTGAAAGGAAAACTAAACCTCTAGAATTAATTCATACAGATATATGTAATCTTAAATTTGTTCAAACTAGAGGAGGCAAAAAGTATTTCATAACATTTATCGATGATTGCACAAGATATTGTTATGTTTATTTACTTAGAAGTAAAGATGAAGTCTTAGAAATGTTTAAACTCTATAAAACAGAAGTTGAAAATCAACTTGGAAAAACCATTAAAATGGTTAGAAGTGATAGGAGTGGTGAATATGATGCACCATTAAATAAATTTTGTGCATAACATGGCATTATTCACCAAACTACAGCACCCTATTCTCCTCAGCAAAATGGAATTGCTGAAAGGAAGAATAGAACCCTAAAAGAAATGATGAATGCCATGTTACTAAATTCAGGCTTACCACAGAACTTGTGGGAGGAAACAATATTGTCTGCTAATTATGTTCTTAACAGAATACCCCACAAAAAAACCAACAGCACTCCTTATGAATTGTAGAAAGGTCGACCGCCTTCCTACAAATACTTAAAAGTGTAGGGGTGTTTGGCAAAAATTGAAGTTCATGTTCCTAAAAAGACTAAGATTGGACCAAAAACAGTAGATTGTGTGTTTATTGGTTATGCTCAGAATAGTAGTGCATATCGGTTTCTGACTTATAAATCAGAAATACTTGATATAAATGTGAATACTATTATAGAGTCAAGGAATGCTGTGTTTTTTGAACATGTCTTTCCTTACAAGAAAGGACAGGAATTAAGTTCACAGAAAAGAACTTATGATTGTACACAAAATTAAGAGACTAATGACAATCAAACACAAGAGACTAGTAATGGTCTCGACCAACACGACCAACACGATTTAACTGATGATGAACCAAGACGAAGTAAGAGAGCGCGAACATCAACATCCTTTGGTCTAGATTTTTTGACATACTTGTTAGAAAATGAACCTCAAAGCTTTAAGGAAGCAATGACAGGTCCTGAAGCACATTTGTGGAAAGAGACTGTTAATAATGCAATTGAATCCATTGTGCAAAATTATACTTGGGAATTTGTGGATCTTCCACCTGGTTCTAAACCTCTTGGATGTAAGTGGATATTCAAGAGAAAAATGAAAATAGATGGTTCAATAGACAAGTATAAAGCAAGACTTGTAGTAAAAAGTTACAGACAAAAGGAAGGTCTGGACTATTTTGACACATATTCCCCTGTGACAAGAATAACATCCATTCGCATGCTTATTGCTATAGCAACGTTTTTTAATTTAGAAATACATCAAATGGATATTAAAACAACTTTCTTAAATGGTGATCTAAATGAAGAGATCTATATGGAGCAACCCGAATGGTTTGTACTGCCGGGGCAAGAAAAAAAAGTTTGTCGGCTTGTAAAATCTCTTTACGGATTAAAACAAGTACCTAAGCATTGGCAGGAAAAATTTGATCATGCAATGCTTACTAATGGGTGTAAGATAAACGAATGTGACAAATGCGTCTATGTTAAAAAAACTGACCAAGGATATGTCATAGTTTGTCTTTATGTGGATGACATACTTATCATTGGAAGCAATCAAAACATGATCAAATCAACTAAGCAAATGCTTAACAAAAGATTTGATATAAAAGATATGGGGGTCGCAGATGTTATATTAGGAATGAAAATTACTAAAACATCTGACGGATATCCATTTTCTCAATCTCATTATATTGAGAAAATTCTTAATAAATTTATCAAGGATGATTTGAATGTAGCTAGAATACCTGTCGACATCAGTCTTTATTTATCGAAAAATAAAGGTGATGCAGTGTCTCAGTTAAAATACTCTTAAATTATTGGAAGTCTAATGTACCTAATGAATTGTACTCGTTCTGACATAGCTTATGCAGTCAGTAAATTGAGTAGGTACACTAGTAATCCCGGAGAAGACCATTGGAAAGCGATCATTCAGGTTCTTAGATATCTAAGATTTACTCGTGATCATGGTTTGAACTTTACTCAATATCCAACAGTTGTCGAAGGTTATTGTGATGCCAATTGGATATCGGATACTAAAGATTCAAAATCCACTAGTGGATATGTCTTTACTCTGGGAGGCGCTGCTGTTTCTGAGAAATCCACAAAACAAACATGCATCGCACGATCCACAATGGAATCTAAGTTCATTACTTTAGACAAAGCAGGAGAAGAAGCAGAATGGTTTCGTCACTTCTTAGAAGACATTCCAATGTGGCCTAAACCTGTGCCAGCTATTTGCATTCATTGTGATAGTCAATCTGCAATAGGCATGGCACAAAATCATATGTATAACGGTAACTCACGACATATTCGTCGTTGACATAATATCGTAAGGCAGTTGCTGTCAAATGGAATAATCTCAATAGATTATATAAAATCTAAAGAGAATATTGCGGATCCGTTAACAAAAAGTTTGGCTAAAGAGCTAGTGCATAGTTTATCGAAGGGGATGGAATTAAAGCCCATTACATAAGAGTCATCATAATGGTAACCCTACTTATATGACTGAAGATCCCAAGAACTAAGTTCAAAGGGGCAACTAAGTTATGTGTGACTCGCCAGAAATCACCAAGGGATTAAAATTCCCTACTCATTCCTATGGTGAGAGTGATATCTGCAACATATGTTGTATGCAGGGATTTAAGGATAAACTTTGCTTTTAATGATTACTTATATCTTAATTTAGGCATAAAAATCGAGACGAGTATAAGGAAATACTCACAATAAAAATCACCTATGTGAGTGTCAAACTGGGGACGGTTCTATGAAAATGAAGAGGATAAATTCTCTGGAAGCACTCATGAAAACCAGGAGCGTTCAAGGCCAAAATGAACACAACAGTAAGAACCACGATGTGTTAGAAGATAGTGTGAAATCTATTGTTTTGGCCTACACAAACGACTGAACAATTAGGCATCGCGTCCATTGATTAGCTAGTATGTCCGATAGGTTATCATTAAAGAAGGTTCAAAACCGAAAGCTACCTATCCTGATGCAAGATATTTTTGATTTATACTATTTCAACAAAATCTGCATATTGTTGCATTTCCGTTGTCATCAAATTTCATTCATGTGTGGGGGATTGTTAGAAATGTTTTGAAAAAAAAAAAATCTAGGTAAAAATAGAATTTTTTCTTAACTTTGGTTTAATTTTTAGGTGGAACCTGTGCGCCAAATTTGGCGGGTCGAAGTAGTAACGTGTTCTATGCCGCGTTGTGATTCACGTGATATATTTGGCTGCTCAAAATTATTATCGGGTGAATGGGATTTTGAAGCCAAAGTGAACTCCATGGAAATGGAGTTTTGATAGAAATTCCTTAAAAGTTTGTGTAATGGTTTGTCCCACGTTGATTTGGTGAGAAGTTTTAAGTGGGTTTATAAGGCTTGGAGTTGGAACTTGGGGTAGGCCCCAAGGGGCACCCAAGTTTTGTAGAGAGGAAAGTTATGGGCAAAATGGACTAGACCCACTGAACCCAAAAATTACCACGCGCACGTCACCGTCCGGTCGGAGGAGCTGGTGCTGGGCCTGGGCATGGTGTGAGGTTGGGTTGGGCTTGTCCAGCCCAATACTAATCTTTTTGGGCAAAAAACATTTGAATTTTATTTTATTTTTTGGTAAAATAAAATTTTTGTCTAGAATTCAAATTAATTCCGGAAATAATCTGTTCCTATTTTTCCCTTTGCCTACATCCAAACAGGTCCCTACAGTTTTTATCTGTTCAAATTTGAACCCAACAGATTTGTATCTGTTTATTCAAACTGAACAGGTATCATACATGTTCAAACAGGTTTTGCACCTGTTTAATTCAAATTGAAAAGCCACAACTACATCTATAAATAGGTAGCTCTCATTTGATGTTTTCATTCAGTTTTTCCGTACTTCTCCTCTGCACTTATACTCTAAATTTTGCTGCATGTCATTTTTGTGAGAAAGAGTATAAACACTTAATGTGTTCGTTGTGTGAATAAATTGTAGTACTGCATTTATTCGTTGATTGATCATTTTATCCTGGGAGATAGATGTTCATATTCTGAAAGCACCGTGGGGAGGACGAATCTGTCTTAAGGACACAGTGTTTAACACTGGACTTGATCAGAATATTGTACAAGAAATTAATCAAGTAAGTTAATTCTTTTTTTGTTTTATTATTATTTATTTAAATCAGATTTTGATTTTGTATTTGTAACAAAATCAAAATCTATTTTTATTTATTTATTGGTTTGATTTTTGTAATCAAACATTCTCTCTCATTTTCTATTTTTCTTTCATATTCTATTTGTCGTTTTAATACCCAAATAGAATTAATTTATTTAAACACAGTGAAGATTGTCTAACATCTTCACCTCAGAATTGTCTTGCCTAACGTTGAATCCATAACGCCGATGTCGAATCCACGACAATGAGCTACTCCAGAATCCACCAAAGCTTCAAGTCCAAATTTCATGGAATCCACCGAAAAATAACTCTCTTTTTTTTAATAAAACAAACTAAACAAACCCTTTGATATAATCTATTCAATTCATGATTAACCTCTCACGAATATCAAAGGAAACAAGCAAAGAAGCTTTAGATGAAAACCCTAATACCCAAAAAGAAGATCTGGCAGCCATATTCTAAAACCTGATTGAACCGCAACTTTTATAACAAATAGATCCGCGACCTCCGCTCGAGCGCAAGAATGGCCGCTCAAACAGAGTAACTAAAATGCGTGTGACTAAACAGGGTCTACGCTCGAGCATAGGAATGGCCGCTCGAACGGAAGAAAACAACTCCCAGTACTTTTGCAGACGAATGAAACTTCTGAAAGGTCGCGATATCCACTCGAGCGCACAATCGGCCGCTCGAGCAAACAAACAACCTCGACTGCACCCTGACATAATCGGCAAAGTGGCAAACATGATAGGATTAAAATCACAAACTCCTCTACATAGGCACAATTTGGATTGGATTCGCATCTAAAACTCATAACCTCACTGAAATAAAAGATCGAATATAATTACAACTAAAACGAGTTTTGTCAAACGGGATTACCAAGAATAAAAACCTAACACACAACTCATTATTGCCATTGGTAATGATGCACTGTGGGAATTTGGCCAAATTCCATTGTTTAAATTTGTTTTATTTCTGTTTTTAGAACACAACTCATCGTTTTATTTCTTTTTTTGGCATGTTTCCTAGACCTAGTAATCAAATTTTGGCTCAACTTTAATTTGCTATTTTTAGTAACTTTTCTAATTTTTCTTGACTATTTGTTGTTTTCTACAAGAATTAGGATTAGTCTACAATAAATAGGATTGTAAACCTCAATATGAGGCAGTTCTTAATAATATTTTCTTATGAAATGTTGATAATTGCAAGAATTGTAGTTGAAGAAGCAAAGTACTTTTGAGTCTTCACCGCAACAGAATTGAAACAAAATTCTAACACCAAATAACACAATGTGCATAAGAAGAAACCATTTCAAAATCTATCAATAATGGTATAATAAATCATAATGATATGCAAACAAATTGATCACAAACATGAAATGATATTGTAAATAAGAGAAAAAAACATAAATGATACCAATAATTCTAGAAGCTCATTCTTCAGGTAATTGTGGTGAACTCTAAAATGGCTGTCTGCTAGCAAATAGTATGTTACCGTTGCCTGAAATCATAGCAAAGATCAGACATGCAACTGAAATACAAAATGAAATTCTTTCTTAGACAGCTTGCACACCTTGTTTTCCAATCCATTCTGAAGAGACCCAATCACTTCATGGATATCAAAGCCCATCTTAGCCATTTCAAGGATAATGCCCTCATTAATCTATCAATACGATGTATATAGACAAGATTAGTTTCAATTAACAGCTTCAAATTATTAACAGATTATATATAAAATTATTATTAACTCACATGACAAGTGGGCTATTAGAATAGAAGATGGAAAAGAAATATTTACACCAAAAAAGCAAAGAGAAAAAGGTTTAGTGTGATAGAAATAAACTCAGCAAGTTAACATAGCCCTACTTAACTAATTGGGCCATCACTAGAAAAGCAAAACAAACATGGATAAAATTGAAAGCACATGCTTGTCCCATGAAAACAAATATGTTCAATCAATTAAGATGGTTAGGCAATGTACAATGAATAACAAAAACTACACCAATAAGGAAGGGTGCATTGTCCTTATTGAGGGTCACACTAGGGGACAAGGGAAACCAAATTTAACATGGGTTGAGGCATCCCCCCCCCAAAAAAAATAATAATAATAATAATTAAAAAACATGTTATCACGTAGAAAAAAAAATGCCCAATTAGTACCCATTAAAAAGCATGTTATCATGTGATTTAACTAGAACTATGGCCCTATTGAGCAAAATGACAATAACAGATTCATTTTGAACCTTAAGCAGAGAACTTCGGATGGTATTTCTAGAAACATTTCTTAGCTGTTATAAAAAGACCACCAGGCAATAGTATTTTAAAAGAAAAATACCAGTACACCCATGATCTTAAAAAAAATGTAAGCCCTGTAGCATAATCATACCCCTTGATCAGGCACACATGAAAAAAACAAAGTCAAAATAGGAATATACAATAATCAAGCATTACAAATGCAACACCTTGATGGTGTGCATCATTTGAAGAAAAGAGTAAATATAATCAGAGCACACAGCGATTCATGGGAAAAATTACAATCCAAAGAAAATGCCAAACTCAATCAAAATATGCTTTGAATAAATCATGAGAGTCTAATTATTGGCACATAAATTTCAAACATAAAACTACAAGAACATAGAAATAAAGGATCAAGGGCCCAACTGCAAAAGCCAATTTAGAGTCTATCAAAATAAGCATATTGCAAAAAGAAGACTAAAATTTTTGGGGTACAAGATGGATCTGGCACGTGGAACCTCCAAAGGCTAAAAGAACTGCAAAGGCAATCAGGAAATGAGATCTGTAAAGCTTATGAAATCACCATAGTGGAACAGAACATGATTTTCAAATTCAAAATGAGGACTATATTACTAGCCTCATTTTTGTGCTGGTAAATTTATTCAAAATATTGAATCTATAATTTTTATTTTAACTTAGTTCACTCTTGAGCATGTTTTGTATTCAAGATCCGCTAAAAAGGAATCCATTGGTAATATTGTCTGTAACTTGTTTTCAAGAAGCACTATCAAAAGCAATTCTTTATTTTCTTTTTCTTTCAATTTGTAATTTTTCCTATCAAATTGAATTTTTTTTTTTTCAAAAGAAAGTACTACCCTGATGCTATAAAAAAGTGTAAAATACCACCCAAAAAAAAAACCCTTCTCAAATGTGAATATGGTATATAAACAGAATTGTCGAATAAAATATTTTCTTGTTTTGTTACTCTCTCCAAACTCAAGTTGGTTAGTTCCTATCCCCCTTGAGTTTGCGGGGGGCTGTTAAAATGTACCAAAACCTACCACTACACCTACTCCACCCACTTCACCTACTACTCCACCTACTACTCCACCTACTACATACCTTACCTCCTCTAATCTTCTATATATAGGACTCATTGTAAACATAAAATATATCAATCAATAATACATCAATTTTTACAAAGTCTAAAACATATTCACGTACTCTAAAACATATTCGCTAGATATAAGATGCATTACATTTATGAATAGAAATAGAATTCATCAGACAAAAAATAATCAAGTATTATTATATTACTTAAATAAAACATGATTCACACATCAGACACTAAATGTAAACTTCCAGTGATTGTAATAGATTATTCAGTTAAAAAATAATAATAATAAAAGGCCAAATAATTTGTAAAATCACAAGGAAAATAGTTACCTTTTTGGTATCGTACGCTGCAATGACAGATGGCATAGCTATGTATTGTGGAAGATCTTGTTGAAACCAAGGATGCTGACGTATTTCAGGGATTGATATACGATTTATAGGATCAATGGTAAGTATGCGTGCTATTAAATCACGGGCACCATGAGACAACTGATTTGGCAATGTGTATACTCCATTCTGGTGCAAAAATTAAAAAAATTAAAAAAATCATAGAGTTGGGAAAATAATTTAAATGCAATGTCAAAACATACAATCCACTTAACCGACCTTTATCTTTGCATATAAACCGGGAAGATTATCATCATCAAAAGGAAGTCTTCCACACAGAAGAGCATATAAAGTGACACCGCAACTCCAAACATCAACCTCAGGACCAGCATATAATCTATCAGATATAACCTATATATATAATGAGCAATTTAATTTACACCAGAGAACAAATTTCCTTTTCATATATATATATATATATATATATTCGTTTTTGGCTGTGCAAAATTATTTGGAACCCAAGTTTACTCTCAGATGGACCTAGCTATTTCATTACTGAACCCATACCTCAGGAGCAGCATAATTTGGGCTTCCACAGCTTGTTTTAAGAAAATGACCATCACGCATGATATTACTAAGACCAAAGTCAGCAATTTTGAGATTGTGTTCGGAATTCAAAAGCAGATTCTCTGGCTTGAGATCTCGGTGAACCACCATGTGGAGATGGCAACATTCAACACCTGAAATAATCTACTCTTTCATTAGATAATGTTTTGCCAGATCAATTTCAGCCACTTTTCCTTATCACGAAAATGAAATTACTCACAAAATAAGTTAATAGCAAATCACATCAAAATTAGCAATGTGTAGTTCCATCTAGAAAGTTGTTCACTCAACAAAGTTCAACTCAGAAACAGTATTATGTAAACAAAAAAAATAATAATAATACTAGCACCTTAAATACCTGTTGGAAGAAGTGGCGCGCCTCATCTTCTTGGACCCTTCCGTTCTCTGTAATATAATCAAATAGGTCACCAGAATTCATGTACTCCATGACAACATAAATTTTCGACCGCGTCTCTATGACTTCATATAGGCGAACTACATGGGGATGTGAAAATAGCTTCAGGATTTTGATCTCTCGTCTCACTACAATAACACAATACAAGGAGATATTTGTTAAATAATGTCTAAAAGGTCAAAGAAACAAAGCACGTATTCGATCAAAGCACATTTCTCATGTTTTACACTGTTGCATCTACTTTAATCAATCTGTGTATACAAGTATTTGATCTAATGCTTTTGTCATTGATAGAAGTTAATATCAAGTTGCATCTACTTTAATCAATCTGTGTATACAAGTATTTGATCTAATGCTTTTGTCATTGATAGAAGTTAATATCAAGCATAATATTTCATGATCATGACAAGCAATAATTTACACACACTCACAAGTGCCCAGAAAAAAGAAGAAGAAGAAGAAGAAGAAGAAAAAGAAAAGAAAAGGAGAAAAAAAAAAAGAAAGAAAGACGGAAAATGAAGCAAAGGAAGAAGATGAAGAAAAACGAACTAATTTTGAGGGTTCCCCAGAAAATCAAGGTGTTTTTATCAGCTGATTCAGCACACAATTGCCACACAAAAGGCTACCTGTAGAGAACATGAACATACTAATGTTTCATCCCACTATGATGTCTCAGAAATAATAAGTTTATTGATGACAAAAACACTTTAACAAAATGCTTCTGAAAGTCTCATCTAACACTATCAAGGTGTGCCACAACATCAATGCTTTACTAATTTTATTTCGCTATCTTTTTCACTTGCTCACTTCTGCTTGTTGCTTACATCAATTACTATACCACTTGTAACTTGAGAAAGACAAGTTTCAACCTCATTCTGAAACACAACACCACATTAGTACTCAAATGTACAACGCACCTTTTTCTGCTGCAGAATCATCAATTGATTGACGAGCAAGGATCTTAATAGCAACTTTAATGCCTGTCACAATATGAAGTGCAAGTTTCACTTTACCAGATGCCCCAGCACCAAGAGTTTTCCCCAGCCTATAATTTGACAAAAGGTTTTTAGATGATGTGCTCGCCTTAGCATCAGATCCATCCATTTCAAGGCTGTTGGTTACAAATTAGTATGAGTTACCAGTGACCCACAAAACCACAACGCTTAATAAAAATGAGGCAAAATAGCAGGCAGCTGTTTCTTTGGGTATTAAAAAAAAAAAAAAAAACTTACTAAAGATTATCTAACCATGAGAATAAAATAGCTACAAGATTTGTATACCATTCAATTTGAAGGGACCAACCAAGAATTTCCAAACGTGGAAAGCCCAACTAACCCTCAGTCACAAAACTTATTCATAGTATTTTGAGTAAGAAAAAAGTTACAGGAGACTTATAAAGAAATATGTATTAAGCCTGTCAAACTTTAGAACAGAGAGAGAGAGAGAGAGAGAGAGATTTGATAACTCGATATCTGACCCAATGGATCAACTAATCCGGGGGACTAATCCCACCGTCCACTAGTGGTGTGCCTAATTAAAGCCGGGGTAAAACTCCATATGGACTAGCCTCAAGAAATTGTTTGCACCTAGGAAGTTTTGAATCTAAAACCATGCAGGGAGCACATCACTAGGTCCCAGACCTTGACCACTAGGCCCTTGGGTCAGAGAGAGAGAAAGTGTTTACTATCTGTTTTGATGATGCAATGACAAAAATTAAGATAGCGTTTCGTAGAGTTTTAGAATTATAATTTGATAATAGAGTAGTATTTTGAGTTTGTGATTTTTGGAATTATGATTTGGAAAGAGAAAATTTGTTTAGTTAAGAGTTTTAAAAAGAATTTTGAATTGAATTTTGAATTTTTAATGTGACATATGAAATGAAAAAAATTATTTGGTTATGAGTTTTGAAAAGAATTTTCAAAACTTAATTCAAAAACTTATAACTCAACCAAATATACAACTCAAAACTCTATTGAAAATTATATTCAAAAAAAAAAAAAAAAAAAAAAAAAAGAAGAAGAAGAAGAAGAAAAAGAAAAGAAAAGGAGAAAAAAAGAAAGAAAGAAAGACGGAAAATGAAGCAAAGGAAGAAGATGAAGAAAAACGAACTAATTTTGAGGGTTCCACAGAAAATCAAGGTGTTTTTATCAGCTGATTCAGAACACAATTGCCACACAAAAGGCTACTTGTAGAGAACATGAACATACTAATGTTTCATCCCACTATGATGTCTCAGAAATAATAAGTTTATTGATGACAAAAACACTTTAACAAAATGCTTCTGAAAGTCTCATCTAACACTATCAAGGTGTGCCACAACATCAATGCTTTACTAATTTTATTTCGCTATCTTTTTCACTTGCTCACTTCTGCTTGTTGCTTACATCAATTACTATACCACTTGTAACTTGAGAAAGACAAGTTTCAACCTCATTCTGAAACACAACACCACATTAGTACTCAAATGTACAACGCACCTTTTTCTGCTGCAGAATCATCAATTGATTGACGAGCAAGGATCTTAATAGCAACTTTAATGCCTGTCACAATATGAAGTGCAAGTTTCACTTTACCAGATGCCCCAGCACCAAGAGTTTTCCCCAGCCTATAATTTGACATAAGGTTTTTAGATGATGTGCTCGCCTTAGCATCACATCCATCCATTTCAAAGCTGTTGATTACAAATTAGTATGAGTTACCAGTAACCCACAAAACCATAACGCTTAATAAAAATGAGGCAAAATAGCAGGCAGCTGTTTCTTTGGGTATTAAAAAAAAAAAAAAACTTACTAAAGATTATCTAACCATGAGAATAAAATAGCTACAAGATTTGTATACCATTCAATTTGAAGAGACCAACCAAGAATTTCCAAACGTGGAAAGCCCAACTAACCCTCAGTCACAAAACTTATTCATAGTATTTTGAGTAAGAAAAAAGTTACAGGAGACTTATAAAGAAATATGTATTAAGCCTGTCAAACTTTAGAACAGAGAGAGAGAGAGAGATTTGATAACTCGATATCTGACCCAATGGATCAACTAATCCGGGGGACCAATCCCACCGTCCACTAGTGGTGTGCCTAATTAAAGCCGGGGTAAAACTCCATATGGACTAGCCTCAAGAAATTGTTTGCACCTAGGAAGTTTTGAATCTAAAACCATGCAGGGAGCACATCACTAGGTCCCAGACCTTGACCACTAGGCCCTTGGGTCAGAGAGAGAGAAAGTGTTTACTATCTGTTTTGATGATGCAATGACAAAAATTAAGATAGCGTTTCGTAGAGTTTTAGAATTATAATTTGATAATAGAGTAGTATTTTGAGTTTGTGATTTTTGGAATTATGATTTGGAAAGAGAAAATTTGTTTAGTTAAGAGTTTTAAAAAGAATTTTGAATTGAATTTTGAATTTTTAATGTGACATATGAAATGAAAAAAATTATTTGGTTATGAGTTTTGAAAAGAATTTTCAAAACTTAATTCAAAAACTTATAACTCAACCAAATATACAACTCAAAACTCTATTGAAAATTATATTCAAAATTCATACACAAACTCTTTTTAAAATTCAATTCAAAAAAATAATTTGTCATTTTGGTCTAAAAAAAATAATTTCTATATTTAAAAAATATTAAAAGAAATATAATAATTGCAAAAAAAAAAAAAAAAGGAGGTACTATTCTGGTTAACCGGCCGGACATCCGGAGGATGTCCGGGGGGACGACCTAAAGCACAAATTCAAAAATCAAAAACTCACACTGCCAAGCATGCATTGAAATATGTTTTCAAATGTGGCATTGAAATTAATTTTTGAAAACTTCAACCAAATATAGCATTGGAATGTAGGGGTGGAATTATAATTTGATAATTCTAGTTGTGAGGTTAGCCATTTATGAAAAATAGAATATTGGTTGTCCACAATTACTTGAATGCTTAGGAATTATACAAACATAAATTGAGCTATTGGCCTATGTGTGGTTTGATTCTCCATTCCTCTATCATGCCATTGAAATCATTAAGCTTTGTTTGTTTCATTGGACTGGATTATATATGACTATTAGTCCCGAAACTAATAGTCATCGGATTACAAATTCCTTAGGATGACATATCTTATCTCACGCTTTGAATCCTCCAGGATTAGGAGGGGGGTCAGTAGAATCCTACTTATTCCATGTTTTTTTGGAATCACTAGATATGGAGTACATGATGTAATGACCATGGTTCGAGGGTGTTTTGATCTTTTTAACCCCTAATATGGGACTCTCTTAATCACCCCCATGGGACTCAATAGTCCCACATTTAGGGATATACAATTCAGGGAGAGTGTTAATTGGGAGGCCAGACCCACTTTTGCATCCAAACAAGGGATTCAAAATTGGCTAGAATACAGTCCAATCCCATGGCCTTATCATTAATGCTAACAAAAATTGTAGTAATAACAAGTGAGCAAATGATTCCAAGAGCTTTACAAAAAGCCTCAAATAATTTCCCCACAAATTTGTCAACAATTATATGTATCCATACCAAGATAGAGCTATAATTTGTAAAAAAATAAAAAAATTTAGAATCCCATTTCAAGAATTAGAAAGTAGAATAGTATCAGTGGATTAGTAGACAAAATTCCAAGAAAAACAAAGATCAGAAAAAAAAACCCAAATGAATAAAGAGAGTAAGGAAAAGCAAAGAGGAGAGAAACAACAAATACAAGCTTCAAGTAAGTAGAGAAGGTACCGATTGATGTGGGTTCCTGGAAATTGGTGTTAGCAGAGAAAATTAAAAGCTCTCAAGACAACAGAAGAAGAAGAAAAATAAGAATATGACAAACATGAAGGGTTTGTAATAGTTTAGGAGTAAGATATATATATATATATATATATATGAGTTGAAGGCTCCAATCCAAAGAAAGAGTCTTGGTGATAACGTCAATAACCAAACGAAACAGTGTGTTAAAGTGCGAAGCGAATCGAGAGAGAGAAAGAGTAAAGGCTGTCTGTGTGTGTTGAGAATAACGAAGAGAAAACTCCACTTCTAAAAGAGTGGAACTTTTTCTTTCCGATGTAGGCAACAAAAATAAAAGAGTGGAACTTTGCTTTGTATATGGGAAAGGCCAGTCAGTGTCAAACCACGTCAGACGTGACAAATCATTCACTGTGGTATGTGAAAATTATTCGCTGGTACCACAAATCATTCTTTAATCACTCAATATAAGATTACAAAAATATTTTAAAATTCTAATTTATTAATTCTAATAGCTCTAAAGTATATATAAAGTTTATTTGATGTGATATTTTAATTTTGTATTTCTTTTCTTTTTTGACTTTCTATTTCAGTAGAACTCAATAGAGTTCTAATTTTATAAGGATATATCATTTTTGATAAAATTATAAGTCTCACTCCTTTCATCAATCATAATACATGTGAAGCGTCATGTGATACTCTGTCTCAAGACCAATCAATAACTTCTCATATTTTGTAAACTAAGGTCCCGTTTGTTTTGGGAGATAGAATGGAGGGGATTGATAGTGAGTGGATTAATAATGAGGAATTGTTAAATTATTTTTATATAAGATAATAAAAATAATAAAAAAATATAAAAAATTAAACATTATATTTAAAAAAAAATTCCCAATATATAAAAAATAATTTTTTTTAATCCCCTCACTATTTTCTAATACCATCTCTACCTCCTCCTTACCAATCCCCCTTCCAAAGGTATAGTAATACCAAGGGACTAATAGTCCCAAAGCTATCTCTGCAAACAAACAAGGGCATTAGTAATACCTTGGTATTACTAGTCCCAATACCCTCCCTATAGCCTAAAACAAACGGGGCCTAAGGCTACGCTTGGGATATAATGAATCATTCAATGTTGGTGGCCAAAGGCCATGTTTGGAAATATGAAGTTTTACCTTGTTTGGCAAGTGATTGATTGTTTTTTTTTATTATTATTAAAATTTGAAAAAAGACAAAATATAATAAAATAATCAATAAGATAAAATATGACATTAAACTCATAATCATTTCACTTTTTTTTTTCACTAACATCACGTCCAATTATAAAAAAATCCAACCATCTTTTCAAATAAAAAAATGTTAACGTATTAAAATAGGCAAAAATTAAAATAGCATATTAAAATAGTCAACTTCCCAAACAAGTCTATTATATTTGGTAATTTATGAAAGAAAAAAGAAATGAAGTGTAAGTTATTAGATAAAAGAAAATATTGTAATTTCTTTTTATTTTTTTTTTGGATAGATAAGAAAGAAAAGAAAAGAAAATGATGTTAATTTCTCTTCATTTTTATTTGGTTAAGCTACATAAAAGAAATTACTACAATTTTATATTATCAAATTATTCTTTTATAGGTGTTAATCTTTTTATTTATTTTATATCTAAAGGGAAAAATGTGCCATTCTCCTCCTTTCCCAAACTCCCCCAATGATGTGGCAAACAATTTGGAGGAGTTTGGGAGGGGAAGGAAATTGGGGCATGTAGCGTTGCTCATCTAAAAGGGTAGTTTTGGTATTATAATAAAATAGTATTTAGTTGATTTCATTTCTCTTCGGTATCTTCTATTTGCAAACCATCAATTCTTGAGAGACTCTAAATGCACCCCAAGAATTAGGTTAGATGCCCCATTACTTTAAACACCCAAATAATAAATTTAAAATTTTATTTATTTGTTTAGATACCTCAAATAATACCTATCTGTCACGACCCAAACCCGGCCCTATGGGTTTGGGTTGTTACACTATCATAACCCTAAAACCCTATACAAATCTACTTTGTACACCTCATTACCTATAAACAGATGAACAAAATCAGAAGAGAATTTCAAACAACAAAGAGGGTTCATTTGAGATAAATAGGGATTCCAAGTGACGAAGGTCTCCTCCCACTCTAGATCTACCGATAGTCTCCTCCTATTCTACATCCACCGATAGCTATCGGTTTCCAGATACTCAGTGCCAAACACAATAAAATCGATTCCAATTGTTTAATATGGATACTTAATGCCGAACAAAATATATTTGTTCGAATACTTGATTCCAAACATATAAAGTTTGTCCAGATACTCAATATCGAATACAAGAAAATCGATTCCAATTGTTTTATGTAGATACTCAATGCCGAACAAAATATATTTGTCCAGATACTTAATTTCAAACATATGAAGTTTGTTTGGATACTCAATACTGAACACAAGAAAATTGGTTCCAGTTGTTTCATATGGATATTCCATGCCATTTGTCCGGATACTAATTTCAAACATATGGAGTTTGTTCGGATACTCAATTCTGACTGAATTCGGAAAATCAAACTATGAAAAACGATGAACAACAAGAAAATTATTTGGAAACATCTTCTTTATGGTCCATTGTTGATTTCAATATGAAATAGAATGCAAAAATGATGAATTAAATCATATAGGGTTGGGTTAGGGTTGGGTATGAAATGCAAAGTGATGAAAGTAAGAAGATAAGAGAGAAAATGAATATTGAGGCTAATGATTAATGGGGTGTCCAGAACACTTTTGTTTACATTTTTTCCAATGTCAAGTCTCTTTTGGTCATTTTAAATAGGAAATTAATAGTAAAAAATATATATATAATCAAATTGGGGTGTCGAACCTAATTTTTAGGGTGCAAATAAAAGCTCCCTCAATTCTCTCATCTTATACTTTTTTTCATTTTTTGAATTACCATTTTGCCCCTCAAGAAAATTGCCAAAGAGGACAAGTTTAAGGTTGTAGCGTTCTCTCTTTACAAATTTGACGATGGTGCTAATCCCGGCGACGCCATCTACAACTCTCGCAGCACCTCTCCACCTCTTTCCAACACATTCCTTCAACTACCCCTCTCATTTCCCCAAAACCACCAGCCACAGCTACGACCACCATCTCCTCTGTGAGCCCTCTCACCTCTGTCACTATGTAGCACTCTGATTTTTTCTTCATTGCTTGAGCGATCTTTCGAGTCTTCCAGTACTTTTGCAGGTCTGTGATTCTGAAAGTTGTTAATCTTTGCTCGAGCGCAGGTTTTGTCGCTAAAGCGGTTTGCTTTGTATCATCTGAACTTCTGGGAGGTGTCATTGTGCACTTAAGAGGTCACTTTGTTCGCTCGAGCAATGTCACTTATATGTCTGGTCGCTCAAGCAGTGTTTTGTTCGCTCAAGTGGTCTATCCGTTTTCAACAGCTATAAAAGTCACTTTTGGTCACATCTGGATCACTTTTCTCTCTCTCTTCTCTCTGTTTCCGCCATTTTTGAGATTTCAAGCTCTTCCCACTTGGTTTTCATCTACTTTTACCCATCTTTGACCCATAGTCCCTTAGACCTAAACGTAGAGGGTTGTGAGGGCTTCATTTTAATCTGAGCGGATTATATTTTCATCACCGTGAATTTTTTGGTTTTCTCCTCGTCACTTCGAGAGATAGGGATTTCTTTGTTCCTCTTCAATACCTCGTCTATAGATAGATATATGGTAGACTTTATTACATAAAAATCATATCTATTATGGATTTCTTTGAAAATCATAAAGAGGATCTAGGGTTTGAATGTTTGGAGTAGGAATTGTGAAATTGATTGTTGTTGGGTTAATTGGAAAGTAGCTTAACTTGTTTATGTTGAAAAAAGAAAAGAAGCCCTAATTTTTTGATTTGACCTAATGAATTAAAAAGGGATAAAGTTAAATAATGTTTGTGTCTTGTTAATAGTATAAAGGGAGAATCAACGTTGATAATGGAATTTATTTGGATTAATCATGTTAAGTTGAGTTGGGTCATGGCTTGGAATCCATAGATGTGATTTTATCGAAAATGTAGAAATTGGTCTTTTTGAAAGAAAAGGATTTGGGCAATGTAACTTGGAAAACGAAAGGGTTGATTTTGAAAAAAGAGTGAAACCATGATGTATTGTAAATTCAGAATTTAAACTTAAGGTCGGATTTGCAACCGTTGAATATTGTTGTCGTTATCATTGTTGTTGAATTTAAGGTCAAGTGAGCGTCAGACTATCGAATTGCATGTGTTTAAATATTTATGCTTAGAGGTTTTGTGCTTGGTCATTGGTAGAGGATAACATTGTGATGTTGAATAGATTTTGTGTATGTAGAACACTCGGGTCATTCATGTTTATTTGAGTTATGTGATGGTTGAAAATATGCATGTGCTGAGAATAAAGGGTACCATTACCTTCCAGCTAGCACATGGAGAATTGGTTGCGTTGAGAATATGGGGTGCCAGTGCCTTCCAGCTAGTGCCTAGAGAACTTGACAGAGGTACCATTACCTTCTAGTTGGTGACTGGTAAATTGGCATGAGTATTGGAAATGTATATCATTAGCTTACCGTGCTTGAGGCAGGTAAAACATTGTTGGATTTTCTCGTTATCGTCTCAGTTCCATTTATGTGTTTCATACATGGTGATGATTATTTTGTAGAGGAGGTCAATTGTCTTATATGGTTACTTGATGAGTATTTTATGTATATCGTCTTCATGTTTGTTGGGATACTCCTATTTGGAAATTGGGTGTGAGTTCAATAATTAGGGAAAAGTAATTGAATTTCGTGAGTTGTTTTCAAACACCCATTATTGTCTGGTAAGTTTAAAATAAAGAGGTAACACAAAGGAAAAAAGCGAACGGTTTAGTGTTGTTGGACAAATCAAATGATTTTGAGAAAAATACTTATATATCTTCAAGTATAAACCAGCACGTATATATATATATATATATATATGTATGGTACGGCTTAAAGCATCTATGATCACAGCTATCTGTAAGTTGTTATTGTTTAGGATCATATTAGGATCTCTACTAGACTTTATATTCATCCCACGTTGCTACTTTTTCAGGTGAATGTCAAGAAGTGATTCAAGATCGAAGATCTTCAGTATCTGTTGGCCATAGGGCCTTTTATTTGTTGGTTGAATGTCGTTGCTGTAAAAAGGGTTAAACCCTTTCTCTTTTATGTAATGACATAAGTGTGCAGGCATTTACTATAATCATGTTACATGTTGCATTTACTCTGTATATGAATGAGTTTACTTATCTTTATTAAGA